GGCAGAAACGTCAATGGAAAATGAGCAGATAAAGAAATGACCACTTCGCTAAAGTGAATGGTATTAGATGGTCATTAAACATGTGAAAATAGCTTACAAGGGCAAAAAGGATCTGAGAGTACTAAGTGTTGCCAAGCATGAGCAACAAGTTCAATTTTTGAGGCTTCTAATTAGAGTATAAATTATTTTATTCATTTGAAAACTTCTTGGCAGTATTCAGTAAACTTTAATTTGAACCTATTCCATGACCCAGCAATGACATTCCTAAGTATATAGTTAAGAGAAATGCAGACAAAAGCATCCTGGGAATAGGGACAAGTGTGCTCATTGCAATACTGATGATAGTCCCCCACAACTCAAATGTACCAATGGAAAGTTCATCACGTGCCCCAACTGGTCTGGGGCTGTTATAGTTCACCCTGACATAACTATTCAAAAACTCTAAAGTTTCCTTAGGAAAGCATAAATGTCCATGGAAAAGAACCTCCAAAACAGAATCCTCTTTAAAGCAGGGAAGAATATCAGCTGAAGTTATCAAAATCAACTTTTCAACATTTTAAAAGCTGAGTCTTGCAACCATCTGAGGATTATTTAGCAAAGTGAAATGGATGAACCTGAGTTATGTACAGCACATTTCATGACATCTTAACTTCTGTCAGTCATCTCTCCATCCCCCATTCCTACAGTTTTATGAAACCCAGCAGCCTGGCAACTAGCAGAGGGGTAGAACGCATCTGAAACTCTCATAATAATACATAATTCTCAGAGAGTGGGCATCATCTGTCCTCCAGATCCTAAGAAACCCATTTTACAGGTTGTCATAGCTATTTAACTTGACTCAGACATCACTCAGACAAATGATCTTCACTCCAGGGGGTGTATGCGAGAAATAATCAGCAACAACTGTTGAACATCATAGCTAGCTAAGGTAGCATCATAAGTGGGGCCAACTAGGAAGATGACCAAGAAACGCGAAAAGAATCTGGGCAATACAAGCTCATTGAGAACTTTAAGAAGCTCTGACAAAATCCTTAGACCCTAGAAACTCACACACATGTAGACAATATTCAAGAAGATCCTAATCTCACCCTCTAATTGATCAAAAGGCTCCGTGAAAGCAGAGGAAAAGGCTAAGGCAGAATTGAAATGCCCGATTATTGAAGGTGTGTTTTTACCATGCACATGTGCTTGGGAAACCGGATGACTTATGGCTTCCAGCCATTTAAAGAAATCTCTGTCAGCATTGATTGTCCCAAAAAACTGGAAGTAGAGACGTGAGCAGCCACATATGACACAGCATTAAGGTTTTACAAAGCTCAATCAACATACTAAAGAAAGAAAGCATCACCGGGAGGAATAATCACCAGCAACAACAAACCACAGATGACCTCCTTACAACGCATCAGGTGTTCAACCAAAAACACAAGACACGCAAAGAAGCAGTAACAGTTGGTCCATGTACAGGAAGGGAAGCACTCAGTGAAACTCTAAAGAAGCCCAAATGCTGAGTGTACTAGACAAAGACTGTAGACCAACTATTTTACATATATTCAGAGAATTTAAGGAAACTATGTCAAAAAAAAAAAGATGTATCACCAACAGAAAACATCAAGACACAAAAATTAGAATGTTTATTTAAAAAGAAAGAAAGCAACATTGATTCTAGAGTTCAACAACAGTAGAACTGAGTTGCCAAATGGAAAGAATCTGTGAACTTGAAATAGAACCAATGAGATTATCCAGTCTGAGTCTTGGGTAGATGTGATCTCTGTGTCATATATCAGAGCACGAATATACTGTTTTTGTCCTGCTAATCAAAGCAGTAAATCTGACAGTCTGACATACCAAAAGGATAAAAATCCATACTTTATAGACACAAGGTTTGATAAGTTGAGGAAGAGAAACTTCAGGTATAGCCAGTAATTTTAGAATATTATCATTTTATTTTGGGATTAATATTAGAAGTGAAGGTGTTATGCTAAAAAATTTTGACAGCTCAAATCATGTCTAAATGCGGGAGTTCATGATCTTTCTAAAGTGCTACACAAATGATATTGAACATGAGCTTAAAAAAAGAATCCAGTTGATGGCATTCAGAGCCAGTTTCTCAAATCTAACTAACCAGGACTCCCATTTAAAACTAGATGAGGTTTCTCAATCTGCACCCAGAAACCAGCAAACTATTAGAGGAAGACAAAGGAAACACTCTACAAGGCACAGATAATGGTAAAGACTTTTCGGAAAAGTCGCCAAACCCACAGGCAATCAAACCCAAAACAAACAAACAGGACTATGTCAAACAGGAGCTTCTAAGTACAGCAAAGGAAATGATCCACAAAACGAAGAAGCAACTAACAGAATGGGAGAAAATCTTTGCAGACTATACAACTGATAGGAGATTAATATCTAGGTTTTACAAACAGCTTCAGAAACTCAACAGCAGCAAAACAAGCAACCCTGTGAAGAAATGGGAGAAGGAAACAAGCAGGTATTTTTCATATATATATATATATATGAATATATATATGTGACAATCTTTACATAGCTAATTAGGGTAAAAAGGGTCAAGGGCTACAGGAAAGTGAGTAAGACTATTGTTTTTTCCAAATTGTTTCCTTCATATTTAAAGGAGGGCATTAAGGGAGAAGGCACACCCAATTTCCCACCCTCCCCAGGTCCTGGATGTAGGGTATGCTCTGAGGTTCTTGCTCAAGTGGTTTTGATATTTCAACAGTTATGAATCGCTGCCAATCTTGCCACTCCAAGCACAATGAGGTCTTTGAGGATTCCACTGATTGGCATAGTCCATCATAGAGTCTCTGTTTGCCCCATATTTCGCTGCCAAGATATAGCTGGGATGGTTGGTTGACTTGTTCTGTCTTCTCTCTTTTCTTGGTTAGGGTTCTGAGTCCAGCATTTTGATTGGGGAGATCTCCAATGAAACTTTATCTGAGGTGCTCTCGGACTTGATTCTTGTATGTGCTAGCAAGTACAGGGCCCAGCACAGTCTATTGCCCTGATCAACTGGTGGTTGCCATCTCTGGGTTGGTTCTGTTTTCACTCCCAACTTCCACTGGACCCAATGGGTGTTGCAGTCCAGCCTGGTGCTGCCCAGCACATACTCGGCCCTCACATAAACCAGTGGGAGCTGCAGCCTAGTTGGAGCGACCCACAATAACCCCCACCAGGCCCGCCCCCTACCCTGGTTTGCCAGTAAGTGTAGCAGTAGTCCAGTCTGTCCCACACCCCATTCCACCCCAGCCTCTGTCCTAGTTTTATGCCCTCCCATGGAAGTGGTAACCCAAGAGGGAGGAGCCCACTATTTCCCTCCCAGGCCTCTTCCACTCCCAGATTATGCACTCTCCAGATAGTTCTGTGGTTTGACTTGACAGAACTGGCCCGCAGTGCCAGCTTCTGCCAGCTGATGCTGCGTCTAAGCCCTAACAACCCTCACCCACTCTAATTTTGTTTGCACCAGTGGGAATAATCCACCCAGCCTGGCTTTTCCCTGATCTACTCCACATGAGGCTCACAGGTGTTGTAGCCCTGCCTAGTCTGGTCTGCCCCCATCCCAGGTCACACTCTCCAGCGGGAGTAGCTGTCCAGCCAAGGAACCCTCCCTTATTCCCCTGCTGGCTCTGCACCCTCCCTTCCTTGTTCTCACGCTTGCTGGTTGGGCACTGCGGTCCCTTCCCGTACAGGCAACCTCACCTTGGCATTCCATATTGTGTGCTAGTCTGTTGCGACCAAACCTGGCTCAACCCACACTGTTCTGGTGTTTGGATTTGCCAGTGGATGACGTGGACTGATTCAGCCTGGTCTTCCCCCGACCCCTGCCAATTGGCGGCTATTTTTCAAACGAACATATTCAAATGGCTAATAGACACATGGAAAAATGCTCGGTCCACCTAGCTATTAGGGAAATACAAATAAAAACAACACTGTGGTTCCTCCTAACTCCAGGGAGATGGGCCTACATTCAGAAATCTACTAACAACACCTGCTGGCAAAGATGTGGAAATAAAGGAACCTTACTCTACTGCTGGTGAGGGTTTAGGCTAGTGCAGCCACGATGGAAGTCAGTATGGTGAGTTTTAAGACATGAAATTGACCTATAGTATGACTCAGCTATACCACTTCTGGGAATAAAAACTGCATTGAGAAAGCAACCTGCATCCCTATATGTGTAGCAGCACAATCCATAATAGCCAAGACATGGAAACAACCCAGCTGCCCATTGAAAGAATGGATAAATAAACTTCGGAATACTACTCAGCCAAAAAAAGAACAAAATTCTACCATCTGTAACAAAATGGTCCCAACTGGAGACCATTATGCTCAGTGAAATAAGCCAGTCCCCAAAGGACAAATATTATATGTTCTGATATAAGGCAACCTTCATGCAAAATACGAAAAAAATAGATGTTTAGGTGAAAAGGATACACATATATTCTCATTGATAAACTGTATAATGGAGGCTAGCATACCCAGAAGTGCAGATATCTGGCAGCCTGCATTTCGACTCCCGAATAAAAGGAGTGCTCGCAGGGAAACAGTTCAATACACCTCAATACTATGACTCTAGATTTTCCGTCTTTGTGTCTACAACGGCATGATGCATATGGGTATCAGAATGTCGAACCTTTAGCTGTTGCTGGAATGTTGCAGCACGTTGAACTCATAACTATACTGCCGTCTACTATAAAAGGGGAAAGCTGTGGAAGGAGAAGGTGAGGGGAAGTGGGGAGGTAAAGAGAGAATCCCTATGTCATGGAAAACAATGAAAATAATAATAATAATAATAAAAAGAAACTAGGTGAGGTGTTGCAGCACTGGAATTCAACAATGCTTATCTTGTCATTCACTGCCACTTCCGCTTCTATCATGAACAACAGATAGATCTACCACTCAAAGGAAAAGGAGGGTTGGGTATACAGAGGAGACGAGAAGGAACTGCTGCCGAGGAAGGAGACGCTCTGCAGAGGAAGTGACCAACCAACCTGGAACAGGAAGGCATCGCCCAAGGAATTGCTGAGGCAGAAGACAAAGTCCTTCTTGGGGTGCTCCGGCACAGCCTGCACGATGCTGTTCTCCACCCACACGGCATGCTTGGGGATGCTGTTGTGGTCTATTCCCGACCTGCCGTCACTCTCGTAGAAAAACAGTGTGCACCCTGAGGAAACAAGGGGTCTGTGTGAGTGCTGAGTGCTATTCCCGCAGTGATAATGAACACCTGTGACATGTCAGCAGGAAATGGCAGAAACAAAGTTGTTGATTCTAGAAAATAAAGGGGTAGGATCCTGTAAGCACTCGTGTGTTAGACGGGCCTAGACAAAAGCAGAGATCTTAACGCCTAGTTTCTAAAGCAGCCAGGGCTACTTTCTGCTGTATTCTAGCCATCCTCATGAGCAGACAGTGAGCCTGTGGCTCTTCTGTTCAATGGTGACTGCCAACATGGCTCTCCATGCCAGATGTGTCCTGGTACTATGAGGACTGCAGTCAGCACTGATCCCACTGGAGTTAACTCCTAAACGACTCTCTAACGTGATGTGTAATGAGACAATCAGACAATGCACGGGACATGACTATATTCCTGGAGAAAACTATCTGTGGTACCACCTGTTAGCACTGGACACGGACTCAAATGATTTCCTTTTCATGTCAGATCTTAATAACAGAACTATTTTGTAAGTGTGTGCCATGGTGGTTTCAATAGAAATCACCTGTCCCTGCCTAAACTTCAGGTTCCCTTTTAATAGCAATTGCTCGGAGGCTTACTCTCAACTAATTAAAATCAATTTTCTAGAAGCCTAGGTACAATTTCATGCTCAACTTCGATCTAAGCTACTTAGTTTTCAGCATCTTCCTTACCACAGGCAAGTGTCACATTTTATGGGAACTGAGATGTTCTTCAAAGTATAATCTGCTACAATATGAGTCTGTAAAGCACATTCTCTCATAAGCAATTAATAATATCAATGATGTACATCAAACGAAAAGTCACATTGGTTCACAGTTAATTTTTCCTAGGCCATAATATATCATGTTACCATGTAACAGCTGTTGCAGGCAACATCCCTTAACATAATTGAATGCGGCATCCTAGTATATACATTGCCACACATGTGACATTTTTCCCCTCGGCACAATCTGAGCAATGGCTTCATGTCTAAGCCCTCATTCTATGCGTTTGGACTGCCATAATTCTGGTCTCTCATCAATCTTTCTACTCACAATTACATTTGATTATTGTTAAAAAGTCTTATGCTCATGCCTGTTTAAAGATAAAGTCTTGGGGCAAATGCTGTGGTGTGATGTGTTAAGCCACCACCTACAAAAAGCCAGCATCCCATAAAAGTAATGGTTCTACTCTCGGCTGCTCCACTTCCATTTCTGGTCCCTATTTATATGCTGCGAGAGAAGCAGAAAATGGCCCCAGTGCTTGGTCCCCACAATCCATGTGGGAGACCCAGATGGGATTCCAGGCTTCTGGTTTCAGCTTCATCCAGGCCTGGCTGTTGCAGACATTTGGAGAGTGAACCAGAAGGTGGAAGATTCTCTCTTAGCTTTTTCAAATAGAGATGAATTTTTGAAAATAAAGTCTTTTGGCATTTATTGTTTGAAAGTTTTAATAGTTTAGCTGTCTTTAACTTCCAGGTTTAAAACTTACATATAGATCATATTTTTGAAAGATTTATTTTTTTTATTGAAAAGTCAGATATATAGAGAGGATGAGAGACGGAAAGATCTTCCATTCAATGATTCACTTTCCAAGTGGGCACAGCAGTTGGAACTTAGCCGATCAAAGCCATGAACCCGAAGCCTCTTTTGGGTCTAACAAGTGAGTGTAGTCCCAAAGCTTTGGGCCATCCTTGACTGCTTTCCCAGGCAAGGAGGGAGCTGGAAGGGAAGTGGAGCCACCAGGATAAGAACTGGCATCCATTTTTGATCCTAGTGCATGCAAGGTGAGGATTTTAGCTGCTAGGCTACCATTCCGGGCTTGCATACAGATCATTTCATGCATGTTAAATAGTCTCCCTACGTGCTTTATCCCTTAACCTTAATGATTTTAAGGATCAAAGGGGCTGCTGTGGCGGTGAAGCAGACTAATTTGCCTGCAGTGCGGCCCTCCCATATGGGTGCCAGTTCGAGTCCCAGCAGCTTCACTTCGAATCTAGCTCCCTGCTGTTGACCTGGGAAAGTGGCAGAGAATGGCTCAAGCCCTTGGAAGCCTGCTCCTAAATGGCAGACCTGAAGGAAACTCCTGGTTCCTGACTTTGGCTTGGCCAAGCCTGGCCATTATAGCCATCAGAGAAGTGAACCACTGAATGGAAAATTCTCCCTCTGTCTCACTCTTCAATTTAAGTTTTCAGTTACACTTACCCAAAGAGCACAGTTATCTGTATTTCATAGTCTCAAGCTTTATACTAACAGGTTAGAGATGAAAAAAGCAAACAAAATGCCCAAGGGAGACTATATTCCTCCAAATCAAGAGCCAAAGCAGAGGTTCTTATGGAAAAGCAAACCAATCATGTCTGGAGACACTACCGGCTACCGCGACTTGTGGGGAAGCGGAGTGCTATTGGAATTTAGTAGGCAATGGCCTGGAGGGCAAGGCCCAGGACAGCCTTCACAAGGAAGATCTATCTGGACAATGCCAATAGCACCCTGGTGAGAAATCCTACATGAAGGAACCTGCATGAGTAATTCAACTCCAGCAATGAGAACATCAGTGAGAACAGAGAAATGAGTCTGAGGATATGGAATGAAGGAGGGGCCATCCCCAAGCCCTTAGGATATGTACACACTGACCAGGGCCAGGTTTTCACAAGTTTTCATAGCTTTTCAATTTTGGCTTAGAACCCTTGTCAATAGTAGGCAGCCAAGATCAGATTTTTACTAAATAATCAATCTGTTCCAATTTTAAGACTCATGTGAGTTCCAGGAATACACATTCCCTGATAAAAACTGGTGACTTTAATTTCCATTTGAACGTGGTCTGCATGTTCTTTAGCTATCTGTGGAGACACTCCAGAGACTAATTCTAGACGCAATCTTTCTTCTTTTTTCTTAATTAAGCACTTTGTCTAATGTGGGGGAAAAAAATCTCAGGGGGTAAATTTCTGTGTCACAGTCCTTGGGTGATTTTCTCATTTTTCAAGATGCCACGGCTGCTAAGAAAAAGTCAACATCCAGCCTGGCTTTTCGAGGGGCAAGGACAAAGCCTGAGATGTCAACATGTGATGAGCAAAGCAATCAGGACCCAGAAGCCACGGGCTCAGTGCTTCTGAGTTCCTCGCCTGCATCCTGACAGATTCTGTCAGTCAGATCTGGGTCATCGAGACAGGGAAGGCTCCCACCCCTAACGGGTGGCAGGCTGCGTTCTCCCACACACCTGCACCTTGACTTCCTGCATCATTATTCTCTAAGGGAAAAGCAGGAATAAAACAGCCCCTTCCACTATCTTCTAAAGTCACAAAGTTCCTCACTTATTTTCATTCTGTGACACTTCCACAGCTGTTCTCAAACTCTGATTAAGAATCACCCGGGCAGCCGCTTTCAATCATAACTTCAGAACCTTCGACAGGAAGGACTGTGTGCTCCCAATGTCCTATCTCAAAGCCCTAACCTGCCCGACCAAATCACTTCTACTGAGAAGTAATTAAGATAAAATAAGGGTATAAAGGTGGCACCCTTACAGAGCAAAGGAATTTGGATCTAGATAGGCGGGCTGGGTGGACCACATGAGGCTACCAGGAGGCACAGCCATCTCCAAGGCCAGGAGAGAGGTCTCAGAGGACACCAACCTCACCAACACCTTGACCTCGAGTTTGTGGCCTGCACGACTGGGATGTAACTCACCCGCTGCAGTTCACATCCTGAGTCTGTGGAACCCAGGTGATGGTGAGGTTGTCTTTAGATCAGGCTGTTGTAGTTCCAACCACCAGCTGACAAAAGGGGCTGCTAAAAGAACCAGAGGCCAGTGTCCCATGCTGCGTACGCCAAGGGGAGCAGCAGGCAGTAGAAGTGGGAGGGGTCTTTCCCTTATCTCACCCCATTTCATCACTGTGGTACCTCTGGCATGATCCAGGACCTGCAGACACAACCCTGCAAGTGCCTTCCCCCGAGGAAGCCATAGCAGGCCACACATAAGAAATACAACTTCAGCTCTCCAAAGCCAGCCCACGGGATCAGTGTCTGTGTGTCACAGGCAGGACCACTACACCAAGCCACTGAAAGACAACGGTCCAGGAAGAGTAGAGTGACCAGAGGGAAGGAGCTGCACCCTTGGGTGACTTCATAGGAAAAGCCTCCGATGGGTCCCTTCTGACAGGTGGCAGGGAAATATAGATCTGTATGGGTTCTGGCCTTGTACTGTGGATCTCTGTGACATGTAGAGACCTATGTCCTATCAAGCATCTTAGGAACAGCTGACACCAGCAGTCATGAACACATCCTCACCCAGCCCCTTCTGGACATGTCTTCCCTTCACTAAGCAGAACCCCACACCAACCACAGCAAAACAACATGGTCTAGCTGAACCACCAAGCTGACCAGCCCAAGCTGCTTCCTCCCGAGTCCTCTTCTGCACGTTACTAACCAATCTTCCCAGCCACCTACTATCTCTGTTCCAAATCGAACTGGTGACAAAAACTCTTTGAAGTGTATCTAAGGAGAGCTTTTTAAACAGAGCTCACAAAGCTGTTATGATGATTACAATGCCTACACTACCTGGAAAGATGCAGACAGATGCCCCAAAATACTTAGGCACTATTCACAGATGGATACAAAATAACAGTAAATGGCAACATGAACAATGTTTAAAGAAAACACAGTACAGGAATACATACATCCCTGCAGGCATCTATACAAACCCATACTCACTAGCAATTTCTCGGCTATAAGAGTGATTTCATAAACATGACAGTTTAGACATGGAACCTTTATTTTTAAAAGAAAGCAACTGATCGCTGAAGAGGCTAACAAAAAGCAGTACAGCACATGCAGACTCAGCATGGGGCACACCTGCAGGTGCCTGGCACAGCCTGGCTGGACCTCCTCACCTTTGAGTGACACCCAGTAGTGCTTCCATTTGCGGCGGGTGGCTGACTCCACCTTCTTGTTCTTCTTGTGCACCAGGAAGTTCTTGACGGCCAAGGCACCTGCCTTGCGCACCGTGCCCTGCGCGGCGGTCAGCAGGATGTCCGACTGGCCAGGCGAGCTCAGGGTACCACTGCTCTGCTCGTCGCTGTGCGCAGACCCGGCCTCTTCCAGGCTCTCACTATTGGCCGTGCTCATCTCCAGCTCCCGCCTGAAGTTCTCATATACCCCCTGGCGAGCTGCATCCCCAGTGGAGCTGCTGCCGCTGTCACTGCCCACAAAGGCACGGCCGGTGGGTGGCGAGTAGCTCGAGTTGGTGGCATTGGAGCGCCTGGACAGCAGGTCCGTGTCCGTGGTGGCCCCTTCAATCCCACTGTCCGCAAACTCACTGCCTTCACCTGTGTTAACATCCTTGGGAGCACAGAGAGAGAGAGAGAAAAGACACATATCATACAGAGAAGAAAACAAGAGCTGCCCGCTGTCCAGCAGGAGACCTGGGGAGTGGCCGCTCCCAGGAGGCCCCTGCACAAGCTCCTCTGCCCCAGCTGGCAGGCAGAAACATCCCCCGGGAGCCTTCACTATCTAGCAGAAGGACAAGTTATTTGGAACTTCCAAGAAGTATAAAAACAAAACAAAACAAAACAAAACAAACGAGGAACACTTCAGCGACCTTACCATTTACCTGACTTAGATCATTAACTAACCAGCAAATCAGCTATGGAGACGCAAGCACAGCCATGCTGACAGCACCACACCTGCACCTTCCATAGAGAAATGCGGCGTGCAGACTAGTCAACTGCTTTGCAGGATGGGGGTTAGGATGGATAACTGGTTGCTTACTGCTGATGCTCTTTTATTAAAAGCAACGAGAATAATAAAAGGTCTGATCATGAGTCCGTTTTATGAGAGTGGCTAACGAGATCATTATTGCACCACTCACCCAGCACGGCCCCACATCCTGGGAGCAGGCACCAGTCCCCAAAACAAACAACCTCTCACTCTGCATTGTACTGGAGAAGTCTGTGGGGCCCACAGCTCCAGTGTGGGCTCTCCAATTACCTTGCCCTTTCAAAACCGGGATGCTAGGAGCCTGAAGCAGGCAACTAACTGCCCCTGGGCCAAGTGACAGCTTAGGGCAACTGCCAAGATGCTGTGGGTATCAATTCCCAAGTTCAAAACAGTTGGAGCCTCCACAGCGGCCCCTGCTCTCAAGCTGAACATTTCCGGAATAGACAGGTCTGTTCTTAAAGCAGAATCTTAATTGCTCTAAAGTGCCATAGGCATTTCCATAAACGATAATTAAATAATGCTAGTAATCAAGGAAGGATAATGACAGCTATATTGGACAGGACAGCTCAACAGTCTTATGGATAAGGAAGAAGACCGGTTTTTCTCAAAGAAGGAAAACTGGGACATGACTCTTGACATAAAAGATGACAAAGAAACATATAACTGGGGGATGACTTTCTTTTGAACCTTTATTTTGATAAATAGAAAATTATGGTTCAAACATCTAAAACTACCTGGAATGGCAAAGAAACAAAAGCTGTGGGCTCTGATCTTTGCTAAGAGGAAAAGTGCAAACAAGGCAAATCAAACCACAAAGTGATACTGTACTATCACGCAGCTCTTGCCTCCAAGGGTCTCATTCAAACCAGCTCAGAAACATGCAAAGTTCGCCTTCATCATGAGTACATACTAAGTGAGCAACCCAAGAGGCGCAAGCCAGACATGAGAAAAGGCAGAGAGGCATGACAGGATAGTAGCAGGAGGCAGCTAAAGAGGCAACAAAGGGTCAAATCATCTCAAATGGAGTTTATAGACTCCTGGGAGTTAGGTTGACTTATGCGTGGACAAAGAAACTTGTAGCCTCTTTGCTATTACTCTTGAGCGTAGTGACAGCCATCGATGGTTACGACGGACCCATATTGAGTCACTAAAAATCCTCTCTTCAAGGCTGGCACTGGCATGCAGCAGGTAAAGCTGCCAACAGCAACACCAGCATCCCATATGGGTGCCAGTTCAAATCCCAGCTCTTCCACTTCCTGTTCAGCTCCCTGCTAATGTGCCTAGGAAAGTGGCAGATGGTCCAAGTCGTGCTCCTGCACTCAGGTAGAAAATCTGGAAGAAGCTCCTGGCCCTTAGCTTCAGACTGGCCAGCTCAGGAGATGGCAGCCTTTTGGGGAATGAACCAGCAGATGAAAGATTCCCACTCTCTCTTTCTCTGTGTGTGTGTGTACACACACTACAACTGTCAAATAAATGCGTCTTTAAAAAAATCCCCTCCACAACCACATAAACACTGCTGTCAACCAACACTTCTCCCTGGCAGGGACCAGTACACTTAGAACAACAAGGAAATTTGGAAATTATTGGTTATTCAACATAACCACGAGTCATCAGAAGTGTGAATATCCCAAACTTCAGGATCCTTTTTCACATGTCTGAATCCCTCACTGAAGGAGGGAAGGTAGGCATGAAGGAATCAGCTTTAAGAACCCTCCCCTAACACAGAGCAGAAAGCTGCAACTGTCATAGACAAGAAAGTGGGACAGAGCTAACATTGCTGTTCCCTGTCAGAGACTTCAGCACAGAGTCCGAGCCAGGCATCTTGAAATTCCCAGAGCTCCAGAAGAGGCAGTCCCCCCAGAATGCTCTCCGAGGTCAACAAATGAGGATGGTAGAGCTCAGAAAGTCACCCGGTGACAGACAGTGACTTAGAGACCTTTACCGCTAGAGTAACTGGTGACCTCAGGACTCCGCTCCAAGCACCACCTGTCCAGGAGCTACTTGAATTTTCTCACCCCTTAGCTTATCAACAAGGCCTTCTGACTTGTACAGCAAAAATTCAACAATCACTCTTTTATTAACCTGATAAAGAGCGAAACCCTGAGTGTGGCTGGAATGGCAAGGAGGAGACTCAGCTTCTCAGACTGCATCTCTTCACAGTTCGCTATGCTCTGCGCCACATCCCCCCTTGTTCAGAACGCTCTATCTTGTTCTCTACTTTAAGAGTTACAGCCTCTGCAGACACTGGGTCAGACCGAAACATCTGCTCATGCTAACGACTGCTTTTCCCCTGCGATGGCTCATGCTCTGTATATGTTCAACTCAGCCAACCACACAAAGAAGGGATGACTCTGTGAAGAGGCCTGTGGGTCCAGCTGGACTCACATACTTGGTGTATACCCGTGTAATGACTGGAGAATGCTCTGAAATCACGATTCAAGATGACTCCACTTACAGTGTTAAGACTCAGAGGCATTAGCGACCGGACCCACAGGCTGGCTGCTGAGCCCCAACTCATAATTACCCACGAAGTTTGGGTCGTCCCAAATACCCAGAAGCCCATGGGCAATGGGGATGAGCCCCTTGGAAGCTAGTCTTCATTTCCCTGCTCATGATGCAGGCTTGCTCATGGTCATCTTGGGGGAGAAGCCCTCCTACTGCCTATCTCAGTCTCAAGACCGTGTCACACCTGAGACAACTGATTCTTCCCCTACCCACACACCTGTGAATAACCACGCCTCACAGAACCAAGGAAACAGAAAATGCTGCATAGCAATGAAATTGATATCTTGAGATGTGATTCTTGTTTGTAGCTCTTGTCTGTACTCCTATGAAACAGTGGTCTATTTGTTGAATTCTTTATGTAGTGCAGGATTAAGTCTGTGACTATAAAGTATGTTGTTACAAAACTTTTTAAGCTCCCGGCACAGTAGCCTAGTGGCTAAAAGTCCTCTCCTTGCATGTGCCAAAAACCCATATGGGCACCAGTTCTGATCCTAGCAGCCCCACGTTCCATCCAGCTCCCTGCTTGTGGCCTGGGAAAGCAGTTGAGGAGGGCCCAAAGCTTTGGGACCTTTCAACCACAAGGCAGACCTGGAGGAGGCTCCTGGCTTCAGAAAGGTGCAGCTCCAGCCATTGCGGTCACTTGGGGAGTGAATCAATGGACAGAAGATCATCTTCTCTGTCTCTCTCTCTCTCTCCTCCTCTCTGTATATCTAACATTGCAATAAAAATAAATAAATCTTTAAAATGATTTTCTTTTTAAGAAGAAAAGGGATATTATCATTAAGCACTTCAAATTGCATATTAGAAATGCATGGAATCAGTTCTCTGTATTGTATAAAGAGAGAAATAAACAAACAAAAAACACACAAACAGAAAGGAAGAAAGAAAGAAAGAAAGAAAGAAAGAAAGAAAGAAAGAAAGAAAGAAAGAAAGAAAGAGGAAAAGAAGAAAAGAAAAAGCAGGCTGGCCTCAGGGAAACACTCTCCCAGGAGCCTCAGCAGCCTTTGAAGCAAATGCAAGGTGTGTTCTTTCTCATTTAGTTGAGCAACTTAGCATCTAATATGTCACATAACTATAAATTATAATAAGAAAATAAAAAGAGACCATCTAGGAATCCTGCTACTCTACTACCACTGCTTCCCAAGGTCGACTTTAGCAGGAAGCTGGAGCCAGGAACTGGAGTGGGGGAAATGAACTCAGGAACATCAATGTGGAGTCTTAACCAATGTGAGCTAAATGTTTACTCTAGGCTCTTAAAATTTTCTTCACGCAGGACAATCCTCCCAGGCCATGTTTTCAGAGCACCACTAGTTTCCACTCGTAGTTTTCCAAAATGTATGTATACACTTCACTTCTGGCTGTGCAAGTGGCTCACTGTAGCCCGAAACATGCAACACCTGCAGGGCAAGATGTTTCCTAGCCTTTTTATCCGGGCAACAAATGCTTCAATGAATTGCTGTACTCGCATGGGGGACACAAGATGCAAATTCAAAGCCTGTTTTTTGCTGTTTTGAAAATCATAGTGTTACCCAGCATGAATGTGAACTAATGACACATTGTGAAAAAGCTCAAGTTGTTTTGACAAGAGGCTCACAAACACCCAAAAGCCTAGTTCTTTCCATATTAATAACATACAGACACAATTCTGAAAAGTAGCCACGAAGTGCCAAGACTGGGAGAATTCAGGACTAGCAGAGTCAATTGATCACATGTAGTTTTAATGAATGAAATTATAAAGTTGGTTTTTCCTTTTTTTTTGATCACTCATTTCCCTGATGGATTCAGCTTAGCCTCAAAATATACAACTGTGCAGTGAAGGCAAATGCAGTGGCGGAGAATGCCCTGAATTGCAGTACAGTCAAGATATTCTGCCTTGTGGAACTGTGGAATTAAGATTATTTCTATAGGGTTACATTCCAAAATGTTTCTCCTGTAGTTTATCACGTTGTTCCTTTGCATAAAATGTTAGTACCCTGCCTACACACTTACTCTTATTCTCTCTCCTTTTCCTCCTCTCCTCTTGCCCCGTTTTCTCTCATCACCCCAGCTCTTTCACACACACACACACACACACACACACACACACACACACACACACCCTTATTATCTTTGTCTTA